AGTATAAAGAACTACTCATTTATTTACAATAAAGGAATCGAGAGTAATTAGACATGCTAAACATGCACTTATTGACTTTCTTTATCTAACTGAAATCTACGCTAATTATATATCTTTCGATCGGTCTAATTGAGCTATTTTTAGTCGTTATTTCCAATATTCTATTACTACTTTTCTGGTATACGATTAAATTGTGTTTGCACTACAGCAGCAGTGGTGCAGCAGTGGTACAGCAGTGATACAGCAGTGGTGCGGCAGTGGTGCGGTAGTGGTGCGGCAGTGATACAGCAGTGGTGCGATATAAATTCCCGTACCACTTGTACCATGCGCTGGTGTTACTGCGCCGTCGGAGAAATGCAGAAATTTAGTAGAGAATACTTCACTGTTTATAACATAGCATCACAATCTTCTATCAGCATGGGATCCAAATGACGTATATAATTGTCATATAATTGTTGAACAAATTATTGTGTGATGGCTACTACAGAATGCAAATAACCGTACGATATGATGATATTGAATGATATCATACGCGTATAGTAACGATTTCCTTCCAATTAGTCATATATTCCAAGGAATGTTGAGACACAAATCTGACAAAAAACAAAAAAAGATCATGCAAATCGATTAAAAACATTTGGAGATATGGATTTTTGAAGTTTATTTTCGATGCGGTTTTGATGTGTTTTCATATGTTTCATATGTTTTTAGTGTTTTAGATATATGTTTGGAAAATTTGCTGGAGATATCCGATCGAGCTGAAATTTTACAGGCGATAGGGTTTGTTGTACACTATGCGCAGGGAAATTTTCAAAGCGTCTGCTCATCCTGTCCCGAATTAGGGGTGTTCGGATACTTATGACCGCCAACAAAATTAATGCAACCATTCTTGGTTTTCCTCTTAACTTGTCTTTCTTTTTTTTTCTTTTTACAGTTGTGAGAATTATGCCCAGTCTTACCACAGTTTAATTTTGTCATTGCAGAAGTATTGTATTCTGAATCTTTTGCACATTTTTTACTTGTATAAGTAAGTGATGCTTTTCTCCTAAAGTACATACTGGCCATTGTTGTTAGGAAGCAGTATGATAATGATGAGGTCGCAACCTGGCTGTCTCCAATGACAACAAACAGTTGCACCACAAGCAAATAATAGGAGCATCTCTGCAATACTTGGCATTTTGTCAACATAAGCGTGTGAATGCAAGCTTGCTAATTGCTACAACATCCACCAGCTTGGTCTTCATTGATAACTTTAAACTGCATTCTGCTACACTCTCCACAACAGATGGGGCAAGCAAGGCTTGTAGAAAGTCCTTTAAAAAATTGGTGAAGACATAAAGGGAACTGAATTACTACCTAATGGGGTGTTAATATGACATGCAACCTTGTCTCAGGCCAGGATGGCCAATCTGATAAGTCAAATTTTTTGGTAAGATATTTTCTAAATGTATATTTCCATGCAGACATTTTCAGAAATGTTATGAGAGTGTTCATGCAAATAATTGTGTGTTAATATAATGCATGCATAATTTACAATTGGCCTTCACGTTTAAAGCGCATAATTTGTTTTCTATTGGACTGTTTGTAATCCGCTAGACATTTACTCTGAGAGCAAAGATAATAAACTGTAGACATTTTGTTTCTTTCTTTCGTGGATTTTTCTTTCCAGTTTTTGGGCGTAGTATTCTAAATCTCCCGGATTGAATGTTTCTTTTGTTACTAAATCTTTCTTGGGTTTCGTTTTCTTCTTTAATTGCCATAGTTTCATTTGGTTAATTAATCGCCAGGGGAAGAGAGAAAGTTCTTTGATAAACATAATATTAACATTTTATTGATAGAAATATAAATCATATTCGCCTACAAATACTTACTTCCGTTTATAGCCATTTTCTTTTTAAACATCAATTCGAAATTTTGTAGAGACGTCTTTTGGGCTTAAGAATTCGTCAATTTCAAGCTTTATTTGAACATGAAATTTCGATATGTTCGTTATCCACAATCATATCATCAAAGCATTCAAAATGACTGCCTCCGCTAAAGTTATAAGATGTCCCTCATTAATATTGTATCGTTTGTGAGTACTGCATTTATTTGTCCCTCAGTTGGATTAATTAAAGGCGCATGTTGAAGAAGAGTGTCCGAGGACAAAGTTTCTGGTCTTTTATTGTTTTGGTACTTTTTTGAGTTAAACACCTTTGACAAAAACTCATCGCTGTCTTTCTTAACATTTTGTGCAAAGCAACAAGAGATAACGAATATATACTATTGGGAACGTGTTGTGTTTATTTATCTCAGCTGGTTAATGGAAACGCGTAACGGTCCAATTAACTTTCCACATTTTTTTGTTAATTTATTCGTAAACCACAGATACTTGTTATGCTGTCAAAAAACAGACATCGAGAAAGTTAGCATGCTACTTGCCGAGATAAACTGGCAACTTGATGTCAGTGTGAAAGTATAAGAAAATTATTAGCACAATTAATAAGGCGAATCCATTGATTGATATACACATAATTCGATTAGTGTTTTTCTCAAAATGACTGTAACAGATATAAATATGACAACCATTTTAACAGATAAAATAGATTTAGTCTCAGAATCGAGCTAAAATTCAAACCTTTAATATTAACTTATTAATCAAAGAATTCTAACGAATAATTCTTAAGGATGAAAAAAATTCGAAAGTAGAAGATTTTGGAATAATTGCGATAATGCGGACACATTAAGGAAGTGGCAAATAGAGTCAATACATTTCGTTGTTACACTCAAGTCACAAATATGAAAATTGACATGATTCTCTATTTGAGGTTAGCTTGTTCTTTATGAAGATCACGTATTTTTTCAGTATAATCAAGCGAATCGTTGCATCTATATCTTGTAACAATGCATCTATCATGAACCTTTCAAGAATCTTAAATAGTCTTATTCTATAATCGTTCCTAATGATGATGGAGTAGACATTAGATTGATTTTTATGCAATCAATTTTTTTCTTACTGAGTAATAGCATTGGTTTTGTTGCAGCATATTGTTCGCCGGTCCTTACATTTCTGTTATGATAAACTCAATAGCTAAAGAGAATCAAAACTGTGCAGTCCTTTTTTCTTAATACTTTAATCATTTGAAATAACAATTAATATATTCAAAATTGGGTAATAGTAAGAGAGTTCTAGACAAAGCTTCAAGTTTCACACTACTAACTCTACAAAATTTGAGGTCTATAGTGTTTCTGCAGTTTATTGCCCTTTATTCCTATGCGCGCAGTAAATTCAGCTCTCGATTTCTGGTCAGCAAAGCGTTCGACTCTCGACTTGCGGGTGGTTTCGTCACGAACGATCATTATACCGCCGGAATTATTTTGATAACCAAAGTTGTTGGTGTAATGCGTAAGCAGTCGGTTTATTATCACAGAATCGCGTTCCTGGAATAGGCAAATGTTAGTGTGTGAATCGTAACACTCGCGTAAAGGGTTTCCACAATGGTGCAGATTTTTACCTCTCGAGGACGTAAATTTTGATTGTAATAAAGCCGCAGAGAACGATGACCAATGCGAGCCCCTGATGGGAGGACGAGTTCAGAGTTATCAATGTAGGCTTTCGAGCTATAGCAGAGTTTGTATAGTGAGTAGCGAAGAATTATGTCAAAGCAATTCATGTCAGTCGATTATACCAACCCTTTTGATATTGAATTTTCTTCATCTAATATTTCATCTTTATCATCTTCATCAGTATCATCTTCGACATCTTCCCACTGATCATCAGAATAGCTTGAAGTAAAATCGTAATAGTCTGAAATCTCCATTATATCTTCATCCCTATCATAAGCAATGGAGCAATGTCCCTTATCCAACTAATAATCGTTATAAATTGTAACGTTAGCCCACGCAAATGTTATTGGAAATAGACGCGAATACATAAACATACCATATGCTTTCTTACAGCCTCCAGACTCTTCCAACCCTTCCCTCGCCCGTTACAATATAGACATATATTGCCAACCGTAATCTTCTCTCCGAGATACTTTATAAAACCACGTAAATCGGTCAAGTATTCGATTTCAGGAATAAACAAACTGTGGACTTTTGTCATATGATCCATATTCTCATCAAATGATGCAGATTTTTCCGTACAGAAAAGACAATCCTCCTCTTTAAGTTTAATTGCATTGGCAATTTTTTGGTCAATTACGGACAGTTGTTCCATCTAAGTTAAGAGAAACAGTGTATTTTAAGCCTCCAGTTCTGCATTAAAGAATAATCTAAATTTGAATAGGGAAACTTACATCCGCAGATATTTCTGTAATTTCATCGGATGATTTATGTTCAGACCGATTATTATTGATGGTATATTTTTTCACTTGATTAATGCCTGGGCACATAAAAAAGACACAACACTCTTGTTAACGAGATCAGCGCAAGGAACTAATGTAGTGCGCAAAAAGATTATAACCTTTCGTCTCTGCCGATTTATGCTTGTTGGACTGAAGGTGATTTGCATAAGCATTTTCAGAATAGTAAGTTTTACTATATTTACAATAATATGGAAATCGATGTCAATTTGTTTTTAGCATTTTCTTAATCGAAATCATCCAAAACTCACTTGCAAACATAGCATTCAGCCCTAAAACTAGCTTTGTCTGCGTCAGACTGGCTCTGGGCTTGCTGATCAATTAGCTTTTGAGCGAAAACCTCCGAAGTGATAGGAGGCAGTTCGGCAACTTTGCGTTTAAGATTATATCTATGCCAATCCGTTGCATAATGATCTCTTTGTAACTCGGCGGAATAAAAGGCTATTTGGCAAGCGAGGCATGTAAAAAGCTGCTTTGGATTGGTTGATGCTAAAGTCGCCATGAAAGTTAGAGCTTGGCAATTGTCGGTGATCAATGTTTTCAGAGCAAATTTATATTTAAAACCAATTTCTGCGTCAGAGGTATGACGTAAATATTAAATGTACCCTGGAACGTTAATGTGAGAAATCTTTTGTGAGATACAATGTCTTATACAAGAAGTATGTCAATTATCTGATTACGCGCAATCCACCATAAACCGAGAATTAATTCGTCTTCTTGTTATAGAAAGTATTTTGGCTTGTGTTCCAGCTACTACTCGAGGCCAGCCAGTTCAACTGGGAACAGACTCTAAGGGAGAAAACCTCCTCTACACAAACGGAAGGACCGTAATTATTAGAAGCTTGGCAGTAAGTTCTTCATTTTCTGCTGCGGACAGGCATTCATGAAAAAGAAAATGCGATTATTAAGTCAAATTGTTGAATTTTAGAATCCTGAAAATTCAAAGCAATATACGCAACACTTGGCTAATGCGACCGTTGCAAAATATGCCCCTAGCGGATACTACATTGCCTCTGGCGGTTAGTAGGGAACTTGACCGTAGTAATTGGATCGATTGTTTCTCATAATTAAATTAAGTAATTGACACGTAATTCTTCTTTTAGACGCTAATGGAACGGTTAGAATTTGGGATACGGTTGGAGAAGAACAGATCCTCAAAACAGAAGTGAAAGTTATTTCTGGAAGGATTACTGACATTTCCTGGGATTCGGAAAGTAAGAGAATCATTGCTGTCGGAGATGGAAGAGAAAAGTATGTTATGTTACATGGATGTGCTATTTACTTGAACCAATGCGTTGATCACTTTATGTAAAAAAAAAATCCTACAGATATGGCCATGCTTTTCTCTTTGACTCTGGATCGTCTGTTGGGGAGATCATTGGTCATCATAAGGTTGTAAACAGTGTTAGTATCCGTCAGCAACGTCCATTCCGTGCGGCCACGGCTTCAGATGATTTCAGTGTAGTATTCTACCATGGAGTGCCGTACAAATACAACAAATCGATAAAAGATCATACTGGGTTTGTCCAAGGCGTGAGTTTCTCGCCTGATGGGGAGAAGTTTGTTAGTGTCGGTTCCGACAAGAAGGTAATTTAATTGGCGTATGCAATCGTGTGCAAGAATTTTCCGTCATAATTTATATGTCGTAAGATGATTGAATCTTTTTTCTGTTTTAGGTTTTCCTCTATGATGGAAAGACAGGTGATAAGCTATCGGAACTGTCAGCGGCCGCAGGCAGCGATAATCACACCGGTAGTATCTATGCAGTTTCTTGGTCTCCAGACAGTAGCAAGATTCTAACATCTTCTGGAGATAAAACTGCAAAAATCTGGGACGTGGAAGCTCAAAAAATTGTGCGGTAAGCTTCTTTGTCTCATTGATTCACGATCCCCTATTCTGTTAATTAAAAGCTTGTTTGATCAACAGCACGTTTGAATTTTCCGATAATGTTGTTGACCAGCAAGTTGGAAATCTTTGGCAAGGGAGTTATCTCATCAGTCTTTCGTTATCTGGAAATATTAATTATCTGGACGAGGGTTCGCCACAGCCAGTGAGAATAGTCAAGGTTTGTATATGTTTGTCCTACAGTCAAAAATATCTTGTGCTCGTTGACGTAACGGCGCTTTGCCTTCCAATTGTGTCAGGGACATCAAAAAGCCATCACGGCCTTTACGAAAAGCGACGAAAAGACATTGTTCACCGGAAGTTATGACGGACGAATTTATATCCTTTGAAGAGCTTTGTATCGTGGCAGCGACAGAATAATTTCCTTGACAAATTACTTACACTCTTGGAATTTAGATGAAGGTCTTGCAACAGAATTAAATGGGCAAGGCCATTCCAATCAAGTGACTCAGCTCGTTAACCATAAAAACACGGTCTATTCCGTTGGTATGGATGACAGTCTTCGGGAAATTGATGCTGACAACAAATCATTTAGGTATGTAAGAGATCTTTTCATTAAACAATCACAGAATATTTGTTCAGAAGGGAGCTTTCCTGTTGATACACGTACTCTCTGACATGTCTAGCGCATTAGTTCTTCCAACTAAACACGTGCCGAAGGGACTAGCTGTTGGAAGCAGTGGCGTGAGCGTAATTGGCACTGTAAAGAGTTTACTTCTTATAAAGGATAAGAAAGAAGTCTTTAACACATCAATTCAGTCTCCACCGGGTGCTGTTGCGATCAAAGCCGACGACACTGAAATCGCTGTTGGGAGCGAGGTAATTGAAAAAAAAAAAAAATACTTTGATTGCTCTCGTGAATATGAACAGCTCATTAATTCATCTCCATATTCGTGCTTTTAAGGATAGTAAAGTTCGCTTGTATAATCTCGAGGACGATAGTCTCACCGAAACAAAGCAACTCGCAGAAAATCGTGGAGCCATTACAGCATTGTCGTATTCTCCAGATGGCTCTCTATTGGCTGCTGGTGATGCTCAAGGCAAAATAATGGTATATGATACGGTGACAGGCTCTGTGAGTATCAGCAAGAACTAATGGTATGCCATACTTGTGTGATTTATGTGAATGTCTACTTAACACAAGCTTTGAATTCAGGTAAAACTCTCCCAATGGGTCTTCCACACAGCGCGTATCAATTCAATTGCATGGAGCGCTGATGGTAAACATGCCGTCAGTGGGTCTTTGGATACTAATATTTACATATGGTCTACAGAACAGCCTATGAAAAAGATACAAATAAAAGGTATGGTATCAACTGTATTTAAATATGGTTTGCGACAAAAGTGACAAACTTAGCCAATTTGCTGATACAAATAGGTGCTCATCAAGTTGGGGTAACTGGAGTATTATTTGTGGATGACAATACCGTTGCATCTGTTGGACAGGATGCATGTGTCAAAGTCTGGAATATTCAGCATCATTGATTATGTTTGAATATCTAAAATGAAAGTCTTAAAAACCGAAAGCGATTTCGAGCTGGTCTGTTATACTATGTAGATAGAAGATATTTATTTACTATTGGTTGATACGACCGAATATCAATAAATTGAATGACAAGGGTCCCTATTTCGTTCTATTACGGAAATACATTTATGATTCTCAATTACATGACGCAAATATGATTATGTCTTTTTCCTTATTCGATCACTTGTTCGCTCTTCTTGACATGCTCAAACTGTCTGTACTAATACTGTCTGCTCAGCAACAGCATCAATATAAATTCAAAGGTTTGTTCACAAATCGAGATTTTAACTCTAATATGTCCTTATCAGTCTCTGCTGGGTCAAGTTTACATCGAGCTTATTCGATACTAATTAACAAGTTCAATTTATTTTTCACGCCAGCTTATGGTCTATCTTGATAATGGTACCCAATAAAGGCTGACGTTCTTAAATTAACAAAACTTAGCGTGGCTGGATTTCTTCCATTTCGTTTGACTCAATCATTGATTTTACTACCAATGATCTATTCGTATTTTGAGTTTTCTAATATTGCAAGGATAGCGTCTATTAACCATTATGTGCCACTAACGGAAATTACTTTGTACTACTAGAATGATGTTACATTTTGACCTTTGTTTCATGCTTCAGAAACCCCTAGAGCCTCATAGTGAACTTTAATGATTTTAAAAACGAACTCATTTGATTTAGAATTTTAACCTTACTAACCAATTCTTTTAGTTCTTCTTTTTCTCAAAGGCTATCTTTTGCATTTCACCCCTTATTTTTAATCCAAATAGGGTTGGGTTTTTTTTTAACTTGGCTGCGAGAAGAATAACGTAAACAGAGTTTTAAGAGGTCCGTAATTTTGCAGGGTGTTGATATAAATCAAGTTTGATTAACTTTACAAAAAGAATATTAATATAGTAATGGGTGAACCTCAATTTAATTTTTCATGACCGAGGAATCGACTTCAGAATGTGTGTCGGGCATACGTCATAATGAAAATCAAAAAGTCCATTCCTTATTAGGACTGACATTTCAGCTGAAAGGAAAAGAGAGAGCATCTTGCCAACTAATGAAATTTACGATTTATCGTAAAGTTTATTCGAGGATATACTGATTTCGAACTATCAACTACCAACATATGTACCCTCCACCAGTTTCAGAAGGCTGATTTTGATTTATACCCGGTACTAATATAATAACAATATTTTTGGCCTTTTGATTTGTAGCTCATTCTGTATTTTTCTGTTAAAAGTACATAGATACACACTTAGCATAATGATCAATACATACATATGTTAAGCCAGTACATCGTGTGGTGGATCTAACATAGAATCATTGAATGAGATAAAATTAATTTACATAAACGATTGAATTGGTTCTATTTGTAAGGGGAAGTGGCTATTACTATTTCCAATATTATCGCTTGTCGGACAGATGTACCCTGATCAATAGGGTACTAAAATCAATTAGGAAAATACCCTGGGTACATACGTTGGAGTTTTACGGCACGTCTGTTCGGAAAAGTGCTTAATTTGTTCTCTACATTATAAACCGGAAATCTCATCTAGTATTAGATCCTTTTTAGATCGGAAGTTTAGTTTAAACTTTTCAACAAAGGATATTTTGCATATCCATTACAAATCCATTAAGAACGTTTGAAGTAGCCGTTCGAGGATTAACCAACTCTTGCCGGACAATACTGTTCGTATCGACATCATAGTTATAGATCCTCACCGTGGGTGGATTTGCGATTGGATCAATTAATATTCCTTCCTAGTTTTTCTGACGTCACGGCTTCGCGAGGACGTCCAAAACGAGCCTTGTCTTTAATTTCTTTCTTTGAATACGTCTAATTGTGCTGATAGACAATGCTTGTTCCCCTTCTACATTCACCAACTCCTCGTGGATTTGAGTCGCATTTCTACCATTTTTCCAAGAAACAAAAATAAAGTATCGTTGGTTCTCACGGCTCATTTTATTCCAGTCGGTTTACTATGGTTTACAAAAAAAATGGTTTCTCGACAATGAGATAATGAATTCCTCTACTTTTTTTTTCGTTTGTTACATGAAAACATACCTTACAATAAATAACGCTCAAAACCTGGTACTAAGGACAACTGAAGCATCTGGGCCCAGAATATCACCATTAGGCAATGTATAGGCTCCCTGCAATTGATAAAAGAAACATGATTAGCAATATTAAAAGGGAAACATAAACATGATGCTTCTATAACATACTTGTGAACCACCAAAGTGTCCAACCAAAGTTGGTGTTTGCAATGCGTCAGTTATAAACTTGATCAATAATTATTGTTTCTTTTTGATCTAAATATTAATTACAAGTGGCTCTCGATATAAAAACCCTTCGATATAAGAAAATTTCGATATAAGAAAGTATTTTTGCTGGACCCGATTTAAAATCTTATAACAAATGACTCGTTATAAGAGATTTTCGATATAAGAAAGGAATTTGTTGGGCCCCGATCACTTTCTTATATCGAAAGCCACTTGTATTATGTATAGTTCTAGCAACATTTTAACCATTAAGCGGTTGGTTAGCAAATTGCATACTAATACTGGTATCGTTGTGTAAAGGAAACATTATTCCAAGTCGACCTTCAATTAAATTCATTCGATATAAGGAGTCAGGATTTGCTATTGCAGTTTCTTCGAAGACTTTTTTATCACAATTGGGAATGATCAAAGGTGGGATATAGGAAGCCATTTGGAGTGTAAGATTATTATGGGGCCATAATGATAACCCTTGACAAAACTTCGAATGCGTGGTCAATATAATCATCACGGCCAATTTTCATGGTATAGCTCCACCCAAAGACACACTTGTAACGGCTTGAGCGAGACTAACGGGCCAATTGCACTAGTGCAGCGTCTTCCCCTCCAACGAGAGGTGGTACTGGTACAAGAGCTTCAGCTTCACGGTCTCAGACATATTAATATTTGGTTTAAACATAATTCGTGTCGTGTCCGTCTTCCTTCAGAAATATATTTGGGTAGGGGAAGTATTGATCCTGGAAAAAGAAGTTAAGCGTTACACACGCATCGGTTATTAGTGTTGAGAATGCTTTGTACTTGAAAACTTCTTATTGAACGATGTCTTTAGTTCCAGGGGTTAATAATCCAGCGATTGACAACTTGGTTCAATCCTCCTTGGAAAGTGAAAATAAACGGTTAAGACTTGAATGGATTCCTTGCTCGGAATTCACCAACATAGAGCCAACTCAAATTGACAATGTCTACTATGCTATTCGCAAACATATGTCAGATGGTAAAGTGACGGAAACGATGGTAATGCTGGTAGTCCTTGGAAATGATGCACCAACACTCGTGAGTGAGTTTGCTAGAATATACTCACTTCCAACACACAAGTACAACAATAATGTTAATCAGTTCAGAAGATATAAGAAATGGCTTGAATGGCGCAATGAACTCATAAAAGGGTTTACAAAGTCTAATAACAACTATTACATGGTTGCGAATGAACTCTTTTACCACTATTATTCCCGATATGGATTCTGCTCTGCATGTGGAATACTCCGATGCAGTCCCGTGTGGTGCATCTGTGGACATAAAC